AAGAATATAAAGTGCTCTCCAGCTGAAGTGGTTACAGCTGGTTGCATACAATAAACCACCACACCGGTGTTCCTCAGCTCACATAGTGTATCAGAGAGGTTCCAGATTCGTCCTAAACAAATGCTTGCATGTTTATATTTTTTCTTTTAGCTTAAAATCCATGGTAGAGTTTCAGGAAAAATAAATAGGAAAGCGTGTGGCAGGGATGCCTGCCGAGAGATTGGCTGTCTAAAGAGCCTGCTATGTAATCAGCTAAAGCAGTTAGTGGCTTTTTACAGCTTCAAAGCTGCACTTTTTCGGAGGTTGAATTTTTCAGTCCATGTATTCTTCCCATAATTTATAAGAATGCCAGGGACCCTGGAATGCTGCTTTGGTAAACAATAACTTTAAATATTACCGTTGATCTAAGCCACCTTTCGGCTTTACGTTCACATGAGCACACACAAATATGCTAGATTAATAGGTTCTGTGGTCTGTTTACACACCTTCAACCGTCCTACCATCTTTGCACTTGGTAATCAGCCTACAATGAGCCACCTCACCCCTTTCTGCCCTTCTCTTTGGGGGAGAAGAAAAATCCCCTCCCAGACTCCATATCTATCTTATTGATTGCCTTCCCAAGCTGCAGAAAATTCTTTTCTCACTTGGTGTTCCATTTAAACGTTGTATACTGTTGGCAGTGCCATCAACAACTCCCCAGAGGGCACGCCATGCCTGAGAGAAGGGTGAGGCTGCCCAAAGACACATGAGAATGAATAGTCTAAAGTTACTACTCACCCACCCTGGGGCCAACCAGTGACTAATTTCTAACCAACCAGCAGCTCTTTCAGATTCCACTGTGTCTGTCACACACCGCATTTCAGCCCTGAGATTTCTCTCATTACTCATTTTCTCTCTGGCACAAACTGCTGTATTCAGCAGCCAGACTCTAGAAACTTGCAGGGCACGGAGCTGTAGAAATCTAACAGATAATAATAAAGAAGTATTTTTAAAGAAACCATCTTTTCACAGGAATTCTTACCGTCATCACACTCCTGTACACATTTGGGACAGCAGTGTTCTACTCCACCTCACACTTCCTCAGAAGCAAGGAAATCCTGTTCTGCCTTGCCGTGGCTAAATAGTAATGTATCAGACATGCCCTTGCTTGCCATCTGGCTTTCTGACAGGCTTTGGGTTTTAAATCAAGCATGAAGCATGAAAAGTTGTAAATATCAAAAGTCTGACAAAGCACTCCTTTAATATTTGCAAGTTTCAATTTATTTTAGACAATGTGTTGGGTAAATGAAATTAGGACTTCAACACATCTCCTCTGACATATATCAATGTTTACACCTTTCTCAAGTTTCTTTGCTCTTAATTTCTGCATCATAAGTCAAAAGAAATTTCTCAGGAATTATTGTTCAACTCCAACCACTATTAAAGATACTTTAGTTTATTAAAAGGCTTTCTTTGACATATAAAAAAGAAAGGAAAGAAGAAAGAAACTATTACATTTGAACTGGAAAGATAGACTAGTAACAGGAAGTAGATTCCAGGTATGGGGAAAAAAACCAATACACCACAGCAACTAAGCAATATTTATTTTTATGGCATGGTATACAAAATATATAAACCATTTTCTTTGAGATAGAGATTGACCAAAGAAAATACTATCCTCATGGTTTTTCTCTACACAGGCAATAATTTTTAAAGTGAAAAGAACAGATCTATAAACCAGTAGAAATATCACACTATTTCTCTGAAAACTGTTTTTTTAAAAGGCATCTAAAACCTTATGCTGAACCTATCTGAAATACAAAGAAGTAGGAATTACTTTGTAAACTTTCCCCCTCTCCCTCTTTCTCTCTCTCTCTGTCACACCCCCCTATGTGCACATGCACACGCACGCACGCACACACACACACACACAAACACACTTTGAGACACTGCAATTTAATTAAGGAACAATGATACACATATACCAAACATATACATATACACCAAAGCAATTTTTAAAATGTTTCTATGGCTTTAATGAGTCTCCTAAAGAGGGAGTCTTAGATCTCCAAAGAGATTAAGGTTTCAAAATACTTTTATCAATTTTTAAGATTACAGATGCTATACACATAGACTAGCTTTGGGGCACTATTCTGAATTTAACTGATTGAAGAAGGCCCAACTACCGACAGAGAGTGGCTGTTTCCAGAGTTGCAATTTTCAGCAGTGATTTCTACCCGTTACCTACCATGCACCACTTATTAAATACAAAACCCATTGCCCTGAAGAATCTGTTCACAATCTCTGCAACAGTGGCATCTGCAGAGGGGAGCTCCAGCCACTTGAAACTCATTAAAACATACTTGAGATTGACAATGAGTAGAGAACATCTGTCAGACTTGGCCAAGATTTCAATCAAGTGTGATGTTGCTGTGTTACTTGACTACATTGACTTAATAAATGAGCTGGTTGCTGTCAGCACAAGGAAAGTTTAGTTGTAATTACTATCCTGTCCCTTCGTTTTCTGAAATGTTCTTTCACTTAAATGTTCATGTTCTACGTGGAATGTATGAAAATGAATCTGATGAAATAATATACCATTTAGTAAAGAAATACATGGTTCATTTTCAGCTGACTAGAATTAACAAGAAGACCACTTCTCTAGTGAGTTTACAAGTATATACTCTTGAAAAGGTAAATTAAATCACACTCATCCCCAATCTATAGAAGTGTCTCCAGCTACATGTCCAGAAGAATGGAGTCTTCACTTTGATCTACAGATTGAATTGTTATAATAAAAGTTTGTGTGTGTAAGATTCGGGGGAAAGCAGAAGTTTTTTTCAATACCAAAGAGCCATAGATCTTCAATAAATAATGCCTTACCTTATACATAAGGCATTTCAAGCCTTATGTCCATATTTCACATTTAATCTCAGAACACTCCATTTTGCAGATGATTAAACAGAGGCTGAAAGAGATTCACTTATCTGCCCTAGTGACATAATTACTAAGCAACCGAACTGGGATTCCACTCATAGTGAAAGCTTTTCAAACACTACCACTGTGTTGCACTTGCTACTTTTGCCTTTTACAAATGTTTATTGAGGACTCAGACTTAAGTACCAGATGTCGGCTTTGACCACTATTGTTTCTAGGAGATTAAAAGTAATAAGTTTTCTGCTTACAGGATAGCACCATTGCTTAATGATCGAAGAATGTGAAATCCAGTCTCAGAGGCCAAGCAAGTTCAGCAGAATTTAGAAGAAATGATAACAATCGGTGAGCACCAAGCCAGACTCAGAGCAGAAAAACAAATTCACTCTCTTCATCTGATACACTGGAACATCTGTGTACCAGACCTTGAAAATTTGAGCTCACCAACTAGTGTAGCTGAGCCTGTACATGCCAGGAAAAGTGGAAAATGAATACCACCAGCTATGTGCACCAGTCTATTGATGGGATATAGTCCCTCTAGTTTGGTGGCACTTGTTCAAAAGGTGTGTATAGAAGGAGTCTTACATTAAAGGGAAGGATGTTTCTTCACATATTGTTTCCTCCATAGGCAGAGCAGTAGCAACTGTACCCAGGAAAACGCCCTCCTGTTTGTACATTAATAATAATTTTAAAAATTAATAATTAAATGTTCCCTTTGCCCACTACCAGTGATTAAAACTCCACATTGACTCACATTTAACAGGTATAGCCCCCAAATTTGACTAATGTTAAGCCTTCATTTCTGTTACTGTTACTCATCTAGAGCTTAAACCCACTGAAACTGTCCTGCTTTGATGCCATTAGTGTGTCAGCCTGCAGACACTCAGTACTTGGACAAAGTTCATCTTATAAATAGGATATTTTGATAAAAACTGTCCCCTACAGAAGGTCAAAGTAGTTGTAAAATTAACATCACCATGGTTGAGATGAGCCGCATAGCTAAGATTATCATAGTGTTAGTAAAAATAGGTCAGCCACACATAAATGTGTGAATTCTGCCTCCTCTGAACTCCCTTAGCATTTTATTTTTATCTCTCATATGGCACTTATCACTTTCCACCTTGTATTATAATTATTTGTATGTAGGTTTTATATCTCTTATATTTTTACAAGATCACACAACTCATTTGTTCTCCACAACACATAATAAATACACTGTCTTACACATAGTAGGCACTCATTACATGTTAATTGTTTGAAAGAACCCTAAAAATAACTAGGAAAGAAAACATTAATGTCTAAAAGCTGCTTTCATAAAAAGTATTTGACTATTGAACTGAACTTCCTTAGAACATTTAGCTTCTGTTCTGTGTTCTCTCTGCATGGGTAGCCATCATCACACATGCGCTCACGCGAGCGCACACACACACACACACACACACACACACACACACACAGCTGGTTCCAGCTATACTGAATTACTTTTGCTTCTCTGGTGTCTTGTACTTCCAGGTTTCGTTCATCTACCTAAGAGTCTCTCCTTCCTATTGCCTAACTTTTTTTTTCCTGACTGCTAAACTGATTCCTACTTCAACTCTCAAGTTAATGATCCTTCCTTTTGGAAGCATTCCCTAAGCCTCCAAACCCATCCCTGTGTATCTTGTTGCTTCCTCTATCATAGCACATATCACACATAATTTCTACACTGGCAGGTGGGCAGATGAGAATGTGCCTGGGAGACCAGAGCAACAGCTAGGGTCCTTTTCCAGGGAAATCAGGACAACCAGGGTCAGCCCAGCAATTGGTCCTGAGTATTCTGTGTGAATAGCCTCTCTATAAGCTGGTAGGTATTGTAGTTTTTGTGATTCACAGGCTTAATAGCCGACAGCCAACTTGAACAAATCCTACCAGGCATGTTCTATAAACATAAGTAACAGAGCACAGATTTTGCATAGAATTTATTTAATTAATTAAATAACTTTTCAGTTTAAAACAAATAGAATATCCTAAAAAAAAAAAAAAAAAAAAAAACTACAGGCCCAATAGCTTATCTGGTACATGGGGAAATGAGCTTTATGATTACTTACTTTTTAGTAACACTCCCCTCTTTATGCTGAATATCAAAGAAGACAATCATAACTTCTTTCTGAGGTAAGGAAAAGCATGGAGGGTAAGCTGCAAGAAAAGGTGACATATTGGTTGAGTTGGATTTAGCCGATTTAAGAAGGGGAGAAAGCTCGTGTCAGACAGGGGGAAAAGTGCCGGGAGCTGCACTGGCCTCTCTGGATGGCAGTCACAGTGAGGAAATGGTAGCATTTACACAGCGCCTGCCATGAGAAATGAAAACTGGTATCTCCTTCTGCTACTAGTGGCTCATGTTGGAAATGAGGCTGCTGGTATTGACCAGGCCTCACATTATTCCATATCAGACCAATATTCCAAACATAGATACCTCATAGGGAAAAGCATATTCCTGCCTTTACGAAAGAGATTTTAGATGAAAGTTCTGTGAATGACAGTAAAAAGCCTCTTCCTATGGGCCTTGCATATCAAAGACAATTGAGTCTGGCCCTGAGACTAAGAGCCTAATTTAGAGTTAAGGGCAAATATCCACCCACACCCATTTGTTTCTGCTTAGAGCATTTTCTGGCCTTGTATATGCTGATTGCTCCCTGTGAAGGAACCTATTGAGGAACTTCTTCTTTTGTGATTATGAGAGCAGAGGTGTTCCCTGAAAGACCTGTTTTTCTTCATACTTCCACCTTAAATAAACAAGCTATTGACCCCTGCCCACAGAGAAGTAACTTCACCCTTTTTATGCTAAATACTTTGGTATGTTAAAGATGCCTCTCTTCTCCTTAGGATAAGCATCTAAATCCCCTACATCAGTCACTATTGTAAACGTTATGCATGAGCCTTCTACATATCTATGTTCTGGGAAATTTCTTACATATCAGAGAAGTTTGTTATCAGAAACCATTGTCTAAGGCAAATGCCACTTCTGTGCCGTCCCCCAAACACTTAATGATAAAATGAAGTTGAGCCCCAGTCAGAGCAGAGATGCCTGCCTGGTGATCAGAAGGACTCTCAGGGCTCTCTCACTCTCTCGCCGACACCGTCCATCCTTCAGGGACCCCTGCACATGCTGGAGCCGGCCTCCAGCAAAAAAGCATGAGCACAATTCTAGAGATACGGAAGTGTGTGCATGACTAGAAAATTATGGCTTATTGGTTAAGATTAGTGTGTTTAAAAGTAGGTTTGGAAGAAGCTGAGGGCATGCAGGAGTTGAGGTTAAAAAGATAAGTTAATTTGACATTATAAATAATCTTGACAACTAATCAAAGGGGTTTGAACAATTCTGTAGGTTGGAAGTTATCCCAAATTTCCAAACAGGAAAACACATAGCCAATCCATGACTTAGAGAAACAATTTTGGTGACAAGTTAATGAATGAGAGAGAGAGAAAAAAGAGAAAGGCTGGAGGCAGAAAGAAGAATTGAGTAACCAGTTTCAATAACTTCAGAACTGCATATCTATAGTTCAATATGAATGCTAATTTAAAACTATTATCTCAATACTATTGAATTCAATAACCTTTAAGGCAGCACGTATAGGAGCAGGTGGGGTTCTTTTTGTTGTTGTTCTGTTTTGTTACTTAGCTCCAAGTAATTCAGGTAAAATTAATGTATAATTTGACCATAATGACCAAATCCACTAATGAGCTGATCGCAGGCGTGTTCCTAACTTTAAGAATATGGATTACAGTTGCAACTAAGGGAAAAAGACCAAAACAATGTTGGACCTGCTGAGATGTAGTGCAGATTGTAATTTACTGAAATAAGGTGGGGATTTTTTTACTCAGATATATAAAAAGCCACACTTATTAGTCAAAATTGGGATCTAATTGAAATCTACACATGGCAGTTTAATGTTGTTATTGAGATGAAGCTCATGGTCACAAAAGAAATTACATGGATAGGAATACGAGTTACAATACTTCTTTTCAAGTCAGTTATAGTACTTGTAACTTCTATTTAACTAAATTAACTTTATATCAGAATCCCAAAGAAATTTTGATGTGTTTAAATCCATGAGAAATTTTGTGGTACAAAATAGCTTTCCTTTCCTACCTGCTACCATTGTATGAGCACAGCTATGTTTCCCAAAACGTTATGTGGTACTGCACCTCAAGTCAAAGGAAAAGACAGAGACTCTGCAAGCATAATAATGCAGAAGAAATATGCCAAAAGAGGTCAATCTTGACAAAGCAATCTCTAGTTTACAATTCCTAGCCCTTTAGCTGGATATGAAAACATTCTTTTCTGTTTGGGAATATTATATTTACAGCGTCTATCCCTGCCTGCCTTTTCTCTCCCTTCCTCTAAAGTGGATGTTAATCGTCATGTAAGCCTTCTTCAAAAACATGAAGGGAAGTCATTGTATGCATGGACTAGAAAACCCATGTACCAGCTTTATAAGTTTGCTATTACAGAAGTTTCTGTCAATTTTTAAATAAGTGTTACTAAGTTTCACTAGTTGCAGATCTATTTGAGTATGATGCGCATTAAACTATTTGATCCTCAATAGTTCAAAGTAACTAACTCTTAAATATGCCCCTTGGTCAGAATGGATGAAAGCAAGGAGCCTCTAAGAAAAGTAAATCTTCCACTCCCAAAACATCATTCTAGGATGGGAAAAATGCTCATCCCAGGAACTACTCACTCCTGACTGGAGGAGATAAAGAAAGGTGTCACCCATGTTTCAGGTGACAGTTATTAAAGACAAAAGATCAATGCAAACTTATTTCAATGGATCACAGGCTATAATGGACTAAAAATGTGTCACACTGACTTTTTTCCTGAGTGAACTAAGCCTATGTGTCATATTTTGCTTTAATATTCTCTACCATCTTGGACCATTAAGAACCATGATCGAATAAAATGTACTCTTTATATCCTCCCGAGGTATCTAAGTCATATTCCATCCTCACCCTCAGGACCAAAGCATTTCTGAGGCACTACCAACTACAACCATAGCCCATTTATGAGATACAGTGGCAGCCAATATAATAATCTATTCAATAAATCAAAATTAGTTAATATTTATTGACTAATTCCTATGAGCCAGGCATAGTTCCAGACATTGGGGAATATGACAGTGTACATACAATGAAGTCCCTGCACTGATGGTTTATGTAACAAAACCTCAGCTAATGATAAGGAGTATAAGGAAATAAAAGCTATGTGAGCATGCTCTTAGTCTGAAATATCTCTTCTAGGAGGTAGCAGTTCACTAGAGACATGAGGTAAATATTTGGAAGAGAAGTGAGCAAAGGGACTAGCAAGTACTGAGACTCAGACAGACTCACACTGGATATATTCAAAGAATTGCAATTGATCTAACAGCCAGAGAAGAATGTTCAAGGAAGTGTGATGAGAAATGAGACTGGAGGGGTGCCTGGGTGGCTCTGTCAGTTAAGCATCCGACTTCAGCTCAGGTCATGATCTCACAGTCCATGGTTTCGAGCCCCAGGTCGGGCTCTGTGCTGACAGCTCAGAGCCTGAAGCCTGCTTCAGCTTCTGTGTCTCCCTCTCTCTCTGTCCCTCCCTTGCTTGCTCTCTGTCTCTGTCTCTCAAAATAAAGACATAATTTTTTTTTTATGAGACTGGAGAGGAAGTTGGGGATAGGATCATGTTTGGTTATGCAGATTGTCATGAAGACTGGATTCCATTGTTGGTGTGACAGGGAGCCATTAGAGAATTTTAAGCAAGGAAGTGATACCATATACTCCTTTAATTAATTCAATATAACTCAATTTAGCAGGCTTCTCTACCCATTAACATGAAAATGGCCAGTCCTACTTTCAAGGACTCAAAAGGTATATCCACAGAAGGAAAGTATTATAAATATGACTCCTTTTTTCCCCATCTTCCTTTTTAAATTTGGGCATATATCAAAATCAAAGTTAAGGTGGCAGAACTGGTCAAATAGTAATAATGAGAAGGAGATAGAACCATTGTTTATTCATATACAGGGATCTGTTGCAAAGTAATCATGGTTGCATTGTGAATGTTCTAATTGTCTTCTAGTTAATCATTGTGATTCAAACTTGTTCCCCCGTGGCCCTGGGCTCATCTATAGAGAAAGTAGATACATTTAAGTTATAAAAAACCAGTACCACAGAAGCCTGGTAGAAGAGGGAACTATTTTAAAGAACTAAATGTGTTCTACCCTACCCACTGCTGAAAAGCCACATGGGAAGACCTCAGCACTGAGATTGAAGTACCCTTACACTCTAAGGAGCCAAGGGCAATTCTAAAGAATGGAAAGGGGGCACTCTGGAACCCCCACATAGACTCTCACTTCCCCCATCTTGGTTAACACTGGGCTAAACAATCATTCATCTGAATTCCCTATGTGTGCTTGACCAGTCAGCCAAAGATATGTAATAATGTTCTCTACTGTACATGTATTAAAGTTATACTCAAATTGAGAACTTTTGACTTATTTTATTCCCTACATAAAAAGAAAAAAAAATGCCTAAGAAACCTTAGTGAAAATGTTCCCTGAAGCTATGTAGAGTCAAATAGAGAAATTGACCAGAGTAGTGAGCCATACTTAAATGAATGAGGGGTCTTTGTTTGCGTTAACTAATGAAGCTAGATTTCTTGAAAAACAGTTTGTATCTATAGAGTGAGATATCACTCATTTTAGATATTTAAATAGCAAAGAAGAAGACATTTGCTATAAATTTAAAAGACCAAAAAAAAAAAAAAAAAAAAGCCTGGGGACCAAAAAAAAGTTTGTTTGTTGATGGAAAAATACAAACATCATCGGGAGATAATGCAGATAACATAAACCAAAATTTGGGAAAATGTTTAGTGAAAAGAATGACCTGGTTGCATCAGCAAATGCAGTTTAGACAAGTTTTAGAAATTACTTTGTCAGCAAAGTGCTTTTGCCTCTTTCCAAAGAAGCAATGCATAAAAAGAAATAGAGGACTCTTGCTGAGGTAAATTGTCACCTAGTTCTAGGATCGAGGCTGAGAAAATGTAATGAAAATCAAATGTATTTAGAAGCAAAAATATACTATATTATTTTTCTAAAGTGGGCCAAGACTACACAACACAAATTCACTAGAAAATTCTGAATGCTCTAAGAACTCTCAGGGTTGCT